TTAAATTAGAGAAAATTAATATATGTCAGTCTGGTTCAAGTGCCGGGGGATTGGAACTTAGTACCTGGGAAACGTCACCCAAAAGTTCCAATTCCCTGGACTTTTTAGTTATGCAAGCAACAGGGAAATGGAACCCACTTGTCGCAGGATTTAGCGGGCTTCGATTCCCCGGTACCCTCTTACGCAAAAGTTACGATTCCCCGGTACCCTCTTACGCAAAAGTCACGATTCCCCGGAATTTTTTGCATATATAAATAATAGCTGGGTTCCGATTCCCCATACCTTTTTGAGCTTGCCGCTCCTCAAATTTGTCAGATATTTGTGATTTTAGGGACCTTTGCAACTATAAAAAATTCTACTTTTTTTATCCAATGTTCTTCGTTTGTGGGAGGTTAATTTGAGATAATATAAATTTTATGCGGAAATTTATTCAATTTATGAAAAATGAAAGAAAAATGTTGGGTTCCGGGGAATCGTAACTTTTGCGTAAGAGGGTACCGGGGAATCGAAGCCCACTAAATCCTGCGACAAGTGGGTTCCGTTTCCCTGTTACTTGCATAACTAAAAAGTCCAGGGAATTGGAACTTTTGGGCGACGTTTCCCAGGTACTAAGTTCCAATCCCCCGGCACTTGAACCAGACTGTATGTTACAGAATTTGAGAGTCAAGATATTGGAAGTAGTCCTTAAATATACTAAAAACAATTTTTTCCCTCGAAATCAATTGAACACAATAATTATTTTAACCATTTTGTTGACGTTTTTGTGGAAGAAGAAAAACGGCCGCGAAGCAGAACCGTGCACACAAGGAAGAGACTGGCATAATTTTGTGTTGAGTCGAAGTCTTGCTTACTGCGGTAACATCGCATCGTGTCAATTCGACACCATTGCAGGAATATCGCTGATACCAGTAGCGTGGCGACGCGTTTTTCTTCCTCAGTGTCATTTTTACACAACGGTTTGACACTATTTAGTGGAATTGAGGTTGACACCGACGGTTGGGGTTAACGAAATTCTTGGTTTTGTTACCAAGTTGCTAAGAGTGTACATAGAAGAAATTTGGTAATCAGTAATTATTTTTTAAACCCTTTCCTTTCCTACGATTTTCCTACGATTTTTTTTGTTTTAAATTCCGAAATACCAGGAAATCTTGGAAAATTGAAACTTGCACCTTTGCTAGGGTAAATTTTTGAACCAAAATTTTTTAATAATAGAGAAAAACATGCCAGTTTTCAATGTGGATTTGATAATTGGTAAACGAAATTTTAATCCTTTTCTAGAAAAGAGTTTTGCGCAATAATGTTTCAAATTTGGCAAAATTCAATTTGAAAAGATTATGCAGATATGTTGATGCTTTTTTAGATTTGCAAAAAAAAATCAATCTGAGGGGCTGGTGAGTAATTTGATTATGCAAAAAATGAAATCCTGCATTTTATGAAATTCGTTAACTCCACATGGGTCGTTATTTTTGAAAGCCTTCCTACGACTTCAAATTATTTTATTTTAGTTTCTGAAAAATTCGGAAATCTTATTAAAACAAAAAAGCGAATTTGGTGGGGTAAATGTGTGAATCAAGATGTCATCCATCTATTGAAATTTTTATTCAATTATCGTTTTTATAAATTTATCATTCAAACCTTTAAATGACATAATTTCTAATTTCTACAAACTTACATGAGAATGTCACTTGAACAATTTTAGTATATTCGTAATTTTTCTTAGGTGAAGGAAAAGTAACCATAAGGTGATCATGTTAAAAGATCACCATGGTTACGGCGAAGCCTAGGTATGCAATCAGCTGCAACTTTGAAAAGGTCGCACTGAGATTTCGCCCAAACCGTTCGTTGCATGGAAAACATGCTGAAACAAAAAAACCAGAGAATTCTGTTTTACAGATACGTTTTTTTTATTTTTTCAAAAATTCTAATTCCTTCAGGTAGAAAGTCCGATGCCTAAAATTTTAAAAACAATTTCTTGGCATCAAGGAAGTGTTTCCGACCGGGGGCTTGCCATTTTTATTATTCTCCAGGATAATACGCAAATTGTAAGCCTTTGTTCGACTTAATCGGATCAAAACTGACGGAATTAGAGCTTTTTGAAATATTTGCATTAGGCAACCTATTTACGTGTTAAGTTACTGGTTGCTAACGTGCGGTGATAGTTTATTCAGCATCGCTATTCAATACTCAACATATCCAATGTTGCTAGACAATCGAATTACGTTATTATTAGATCGCTAAGTGTCAAGGCATCCTTGACAGAACAGAACAATCCTTAAAATTTTGAAACTGGGGGATTAAATTGGCATGCCACGCATCCACACCCACTGCGGAATTAAATTGGTATGCCAAGCGTCCACAAACAGGAGAATTAACAACGTTTAAGGTTTTATAATTGCATATGATTTTATGCATATAAGTTCACAAATCACTAAAAATAATTAAATAAATAAATTTTAAAAACCAAACTTAGGTGAAGGACGAGCTTAAAATATTAAAACAAGAAGCATTAAAAAATGTCATAAATCGCTTAATATTTATTAACTTTTACTTCACCGGGGGCCCAACTGTTAAATTTTCAAAGCAATGATAATCAATAATAAATGTAGCTAAACCAACGACTTGATTAAATATGAAGGGCAGCATTACAGAAGTTATTAAAAATACGCCAGAACATGAGCAAATTTCCTCTATAAGAGGTGTCGCGATTTATTGAAAGATAATCATTCAAATCTTGCAAGTTTAATATACAAATACATATTACGCATTTCGTATAATTGTTCCAAATCCTTGAAAGTATACCTTTTTTCCTGTGTTAGTTGGGCCCCCGGTGAAGTAAAAGTTAGTAAATATTAAACGATTTATGACATTTTGTAATGCTTCTTGTTTTAATATTTTAAGCGCGTCCTTCACCTAAGTTTGTTTTTTAAAATTTATTTATTTAAGTAATTCAATCAAATATTTAGTTTAAGTCGTATTAATATCCAAGTAAATGTCCTATATCAAATTACGACTCGTTTGACGAGTAGTTAAACAAATAAAAACATGCCGCTTTTCTGTGTACTTAGATTTTGTAACCGAAATTTCAATCCTTTTTTCCACAATAATGTTTCGAAGTTGGAAAAGCTTTGCAGGCATGTCGATGTTTATTAGATTCGCAAAAATTAATAAAGCTGAATAATTATTTTTTGGAATCTTTCCACGACTTTAAATTATATTTATTATTATTTAAAAACCTAAGATGCTGAGAAAAATTAAAGCATGCCGATAGCCAGAATCATCCAATATCAATCACATCGTAGGGCTTTAAAGTCACTTGTCACTACATTTTTAAAAAAACTTGTTATTCCGACGTTTAAATAGAGAAAATTTTACATGAAACCATCATTTCATTTGCACATTTTTTTACAAAAGGCGATTAGAGATGGTTTGCACAAATTCATAATTTAATTATGCGATGGTTTTTGGTTGGAGAGATTTCTAACTTTTTTTATGTGAAAGCCCATGTCTCGAACTATAGGTAAATATATTTGGCTTCCGGTGTTGTGCACTCTGGGGCATGAGGCAAGGTCAAATTTGCAGAGGTGTCCTTTTTTAGTTTTCCAAACCAGTGTTCTTATAAAATGGCGCCGAACAAAAGATTTTTTCTGAGGCCCTAGTGCAGAAATCGTCTTTGCGACTATTATCAATGGACTCAGCATGCCTTTCACTATATAAAACCACTTTTATCTCATGCTTATCTTTTAAGCCCGTATTGTAGTTTAACTTCATACTTGTCCTATGGAATGCTCTCACGAACGCAACTCCTCGACTTTTAAGGCCCCCACATTTTAAGGCTTTGACACTAAAAATCCCAAACGTTGTTTATATCCAAGGTACATATAGTATATTGCACTGTAAGTACTTTTGATAAGTGGTTACACCCCAGGAAATGAGTTTCCATCAAACCCTATAAAATTTTTACAAAAGTTCTCCTCGAAATTGAAGCGGAAGTTAAACATTTTTAACTAATCAAAACGCAGTAATTTTATTATTTTGTCACTTGTACCTTGTAGGTAAAATGGTTCTGCAGCAGGGGACACAAAAAACTTATTAAAATTTGTTTTCAACAAAATTTGACTATTAATTTTCTAAATAAGTTCAAGAGTTTTTTAGGATTCCATGTCAGCTGATTAGCTCGGGTCCTTCTCCAAAACTGTTTACTCAAAATCATCACTGCTTAATTTAATATTACTTAGGACACTTAGAGCTTTGCCCTCAATCTTCATTTCACCCAGTCGGTCCGTTTTTAAGGTCAGGAGGTCAATTTCCCGGTGCACGGTCCGACTTATCACTTTTCATGGAAAAGTATCAGCGATGCTGGAGGGCCCACATTATTTTATTCATTACGGATTCTTTTATTATTAGATACAATCATTATCTAGGGTTATGATAATAATAATTTTTCACCTCTGACCTCTTTGGTTATCATACCACATGAATAATTAAGTTTGGAAAGTGGGTTTTTGACACCTTCCAACTCTGGGGGCTCTGGAGGGGACATTTGTGAAGCTATCGCCTTAAAAATTTAGAGATATCTTTTTGAGAGTATTATCTTGCTTGTCTATCAAAATCAACTCAAAATTCAAATTTGCACCAGAGATATTCAAGCGCAAAGTCGTGAAAACCATGTCTAATCGCCTTTTGTATTTGCACCGTGTCAAATCTGTGATTTAAACGTGTCCACAACCATCATTAATTTCTGATCGTCCGAAAGTCTGCGTAGTCGTCCCGCCACTTTAGCATGCAATCTTATCACCTTGTGGATAAATACGATGGCGCAAATGGCCAGGCAAACTATGAGAGTGTAAAAGGCTTGTAAATTTACACAAATATTTCGAATTTTACAACGTTGAAAGGACTGCGTAAATTACCTAATTGGCATTCTTAATATTTAAAAAATTGTTTAAGTGCGTGCTCATTTTTTTAATAAAAGTCAAAATTTTTTACAAAATATTAATATATTTCGGACTTGCAATTTCTTGAAAATAGTTTCAAATTTTATTGCTATGAATAACCTAACAAAAATCCAAAATAAATACATATCCATCGTATACTACTGGTAATATCTGTAGGTCTTATTAGCATCGTGTCAAATCTGTGATTTAAACGTGTCCACAACCATGATAAGTTTCTGATCGTCCGAATTTCTAAAAAGTCTCCGTAACCGTCCCGCTTTCTCCGTCATTTTTGCATGGAAACTTATCACTTCGTGGATAAAAACGATGGCGCAGATGGCCAAGCAAACTGTGAGAGTGTAGAACGCGCCGGAAATGTGTTTCAAGGTGAGATTGTCATTTCCCGCCGTGTCGGAGAGCGCCAATTTGTCCGTTTGATTGGTTGCCAGCCACCAGGCGCGTTTTGGCAGGCGGACGTTGTAATACATGTCGTTCGCCTCCCATAAATCGGCGAGGTGAAATGGCCGCGTCCAGCCGATCCAGCGGTCGAAACTTTCCTTGTAGATGGAGCCAGCTTCGAGAACGAGGCCCATAAATATCTGAAATTTTGAAAGTGGAAAATATTAGAATTGAAAAATTAGGGTAATTTGCGATAAGCATAAGTACAACAGATACACAGTCATCATGGTTAATTTTAAGGTTGATTGGTTAATTTTTTTTTAAATAATTATTTAAATGAGTAAATTTTGAAAATCAATAACGCAATTCACGCCCTTCGTAACATTGTTAAATTCTGTAAACTTACAAACTGTACACACTTTTGGAAATATTTCAATACAATCGAGTACAATTCGGAGTGCAAATAATTTTTATAAACTACTTATTCAGAGCAAGGGAGTCTTTTTATTTGGTAACAGCTTGTAAATTATTTTTCGAAATTTACAGATTTTACAAGTTACGAAATACTGCGTTATTGCCTCAATAATTTCGTCATTTTACAAATTTCCTGGGACAATTTGTTCACATATTTAGCTTGTTCTTGCTGACGATAAAAAATGTGCCTTTCATTTTATTACGAGAACTTAAAGTATTGCGCCATTTCCATCTCGAAAAATTAAAAAAAATTCTACAGCTTTTATAAATTTTCACATTGGTGTGAAAACCTTACAATTTTTAATCAAACATTACACAATTTTGAGCAGAGCAGAACATTTGCCTGAATGCATTTTCGCAGTTTTATATCCTTACAAATTTTTCCATTCGAACCAATACATATTTAAGTCTACTTCAAGTTCAAATTTTAAAATATTTTATTACAATGGAGGAAATATACATTCACTAATTAGGAGAAAAAAAGTACTAAAAAATCTCACATTATACGTCGTTTCCGGTGCGAAGACAAGTTTCCTGATTTCCGAATCCGATAAATTTCTCGCTTTCAGGTAAATCGTTGCCAACGCGTATGCAATGCAGGCATATTTTTTTGCCACGGCACGTTCCAAACATTCCAATCCGTTTCCCGTAATGATTTCCATGTCGTTCAGCAGTTTCACATAGACCGGATCCGTCGACGCTTTCAGCGTGTTGTACGCAGAATCGCCATGTTTAAGGAAGCCGACCTCGTAATCGGAGGCCACCAACTGTTCAAAAGTCAGGGGAAGTCGTTCCATCACAGGAAATGCGAGAAAACTGACCATTTTGGATCTGAAAATATACAATGACAGAAAAATTTTGAAATCTATTGGTAACTTCATAAATATCATTTATTTTTGTAGTAATTCACGCAGTCCTTAACCCTTAAAACTGTAACGACGACAATAGTCGTTTTATAAGAAATGGTTTAATTCGGGAGTACGACAAAAGTCGTCCTAAAAAATCGTGGTCATGGCGAGGAAGGACGACAATTGTCGTTTCTAGGAGGTCATTGATTTTCACCATTTTCTCTCCGCGGCCTAAAATTTGTTGCAATTTTGAGGGATTTCTCCTATGCCAACACAATGCTAAATTTGAAGATTTTCTTCCCAAAAATTTGGATATTTCCCTATACAACTCAACGTTAAATTTTTTATTTTCCAGTTTTTCGAGTTTTATTAAAAACTCCTGAATTTCTCCTCCCGCGCCATGACCACAACATACTTATAGCGTCCCCGATTTAATGCCTTTTCTTGTCGTTAATCATACACGTTAAAGGGTTAACTTTATAAAATTCGTAAATTTTGTAAAAAAAACAAATTTATTTAAACGTGGCGAAAAAAATATCCCTAGTCTCTACAATTTTGCTTAAAAGAAATTTGTCGGATTCGGATATTAGGAAACTTTTACTTCGCACCGGAAATGAGTTATACTGCAAAATTTTATTATACAAAGTCAGATACAGAGCGTGTTTCAAGATACAAAACTCACTTTTGTTTTTGAGATAACAAGTGTTAGAGACACATGGGATTATTGAAATTTGCATGTGTCGTACCCAGATAGTCAAGGAACAGTTTGCAAAATAACCCTTAGTTCTGTACACAAACATGCCGCCACACCCCTCCACGTAGTGAGAGGTAGCCGTAAAATAGTTTTCCAAAGATGAATTGTACCATAAAAAATTATTAAGAAACTGGGGATAAATAAATTCTACGCCAGTCAAACCCTTATTACCAGTGAATTAAATGACGCTAGCAAAAAGAGGCAGGTATCATTGGCTGGAGTTCCACCTCCACCAGAGCGGCGTCCATGATCAGCCAGGATCGACGACGGGTTACGCTAGATTGCAAATTTCGTCAACAAGAAAAATCCGTCACCACGGATAAGTATGCAAAATGGTGGGGGTGAGTCAGGCAATAGTTTTTAGGGTCATTCACTCTCACCTAGATAGACTAACGTAGAGGAGGACCCACTGTACGCCCCCAAGCCGTCTTACATCAAGAATTTCGAAGTAACTTTGCGATAACTGTATGAAAAATAATTTTACACAAATAAATTTTAAATTGTAACAACTCTTGATGAGTCGCCTGACATTATTTCTAAAGATTATTTTGGATTTGGGTACTTGATGTAGAGATTTTCAAGCTGACGGGTCGGGCGCTAAATGGGTTTTGGAAAACTTTTCATGGGCGGGTGGAACAAATTCACTCCAAAAAAGTGTCAAACGTGATGATGGCGTGAAAAAAGCGAATGCACCTCGTCAGACAAACTAATTGGCTACACATTGATGCAATTATTAAACATCTCTAACGAGAAATAAAGCTATAATAAAATAAATAAAAGTGAGTTTTGTATCTTGAAACACGCTCTGTAGTGTAGGCGTGTCATCTCGCGTCACATTTTTGTGACAATGAAATAATCTAGAGAAACAAAAACATGCAAATTTTCTGGGTAAATTTGAAAATCTATCCATTTCTAGAGTTTTGCACAAAGTTTCGGATTTGTTAATCGTTTGCAAGAAACTCATGGGAGCAAAGTGGAATCTTTGTTTGCTCTAAAGTAATTTGCTTATGCGACAACATTTGACAACGTCGTCAAAATCTGACATTTTATGAAATCTGTTAACTCCACATCCATCCATCTATTTTTTAGACACTTACCATAACTTCAAATTATTTTTTTAGTGTCTAAAATAATGAGGAATCGTAGGAATGCAATTTTGGTAGGGGATGCAATTTTGAAACTACCAAAATTGCACATTTTAAAGTTTTTTTCTTATAAGTTTCCTATGTTTTTGAGCAAATAAGATTGTGTAAATGCGTCATTTGGCATCACATTTTTTGACAGTGAAATATGTAATCTTAGAAATAAAAACATGCCAATTTTCTGGATAAATTTCGGGAATCAAATATCCGATTCTATCCATTTCCATTATCATCTATCCATATCTAGAAATGAGTTTTGCACAAAGTTTCGAATTTTCCAAACGTTAACAAGTTGCATCTTATGCAACTTGTTAACTTTTCGAAAATTCGAAAAGTGGCATCTTATGCAACTTGTTAAGTTTAAACATATTATGTTGAAACTTGCTACATATAGCAGAGCTACTAATACATAATACATAACAAATCTTTATTTGATCTAAATAATTTGATTATTTTTAAAAAATTGACAAAGTCGTTTAAAGCCTGCATTTAAGAAATTTATTTATGTTTTTTATAACTTTTCCTGGTTTTAACATTCCAATCGTTTGCAAGAAAATTGCAAAATACACTAATTTAGACTTAATGGATCTTGATTTGCTCTAACGTGATTTGATTATGTGAAAAAATTGACAACGTCGTCATAATTGTGGATTTTGTTAAATCTGTTAACTATACATACGTAATTACTTTTAGAATCTTACCTCGACTCAAATTTTTATTGTCTAAAATATTGGGAGATTTTGAGGATGCACTTTGGTTTGGGGATGCAATTTCAAAACTTCAAAAATTGTACATTTTTAAAGTTTTAAAAAAAAATATCTTTCCCTTTTTTTTAGCAAGTCAGATTGTGTAAATGTGCCATTTGGTACCACATTTTTTACAGTGAAATATGTAATTTGAGAACCAAAAGCATGTCGATTTTCTGGGTAAATTTAGGAATAAAATTCATCTTTCTGGAAAAGAGTTTTGCACAGTGTTTCGAATTTGGCACAAGTTATGCTGAAACTTGCAAGTTTCCCGAACTAGAAGTGATGCATTTTTGTTACTATAAAGTAATATGAGTATGCAAAACTTGACAAGTTCGTTTATATCCTACATTTTTTAGTGTTTTTTCAGTAATTATTTTTGTAAACCTGCCTTTCTACGATTTTAATTTATTATTATTTTAATTTCAGAAATATCAGGAAATCTTGGAAACTAGAAATAATAGTCCCCATTTTGTAGGGGATTTTTGTGAACCAAAATCCTTTACATAAAGAAATCTTTGAGTTTTTTCTAATTATAGTATTCCAAAATTTGTCACTTCAACACGCTTAAATGACGCAATTCTACCAGGTCTAAAAATTTCAATTAACTAAGAAAATGAAGTGATTAACTGAAAAACCTAAATTTATATTAATTTTTAAATGATTTAATAACTTTTAAAACATTTTTTAAACTCTATTTTATAACAATTTTCCACCTTTTTAATTTATTAGTGGTTAATTTTAGTTTCTAAAATATCAGAGATTTCTTGATAAATAAAATGCCTATTTGCCGGTAAATTTTTGTACCAAATATCCTAATTTATCTATGAAAGTTATTTTCAATTATAGTTTTTAAAACTTTATCATTACAACGTTTAAATGACACAGTTCAAAATTTCTTGAACTTTACATAAAATTGTGGTTTGTCTTTTTAAAAAAATATATTTTCCTCCATTTTTAAGTAATTTCGTCAAACAGCTTTAGTCGTATACATGTATACGTGTCATCTCGCAGCACGGCTTAATTGGTTAACTTAATTTGTTAACTGCACATTCGTAAGTATTTTTTCCTGCCAATTTAAATTATTGTGGGTATTCACGTCAACTTCGTAAAAGACGTAAACGTCGCTTCGCAACTTGTCTTCGCAAGTTTGCGATGTTTGCGAAGAGTTGCGATGCGACAACCAATCAGATTGCTTTATTTTTTTACGAAACATTCGAAGCAAAAGGGCATCTATTATCGTCGTAAACTATTTTTCGCAAACTCGTCGTCAAGCGAAATTTTCATTTCTCCTCATTTTTAGAAATGTTGCCAGACAACCTTACACTTTTCCGTCAAATGAATTATTTTTTTTGCAAATAATCAATTTACGCATTTTCATGTAAAATAAGTCGTTCACGACACCTATTTCGCAAACACCGCAAAAGTTGCGAAGATGTGTTGCGAAGCGACGTTTTTTAGTGACGTGAATACCCACATTATTATATTAGTTTTTGAAATGTCGAGAAATCTTGATAACACTAAAATGTCTATTTCCTGGTATATATTTTGACCCAAATCCCTGTGAACTATCTTTTCAAGTTATTTTAAATTATACTTTTTAAAAATTTATCATTCCATCGTTTAATTGAAACAATTCCAAATTTCTCGAATTTGCTGTAATATTATCACTTGAACAATTTTAAATGTATATTCTTAAATTTTTAAGTAATTCAACCAAAAATTTTCAGTCGTACATACGTAAATGTCTCATTACGCAGCACGACTTGTTTGGCAAATATTTTAAGAAATGAAAACTTGCAGATTTTCTATGCAATCCTTTGGCAAAAAATTGACAAAAAATGCTATCCTGCTTAAGGGGGAATTGGATGACGCCATTCCTTACACCCCTGGGCAACAGTGGACTCTCCTTGCCCCATAAACATACATGCAAAATAAAAAATGGCTTTAATTGCAATCATTTTTGAAAATAATTTAATTTTGATTGGTGTTTTGAAAACCTAATTTTCAGCGTCACAAACAAGTCGTTTTCAAATTTCAAATTTTTCAAAATTGACAGAGATATGAAACTGTATCTCTGTCAATTTTGAAAAATTTGAAATTTGAAAACGACTTGTTTGTGACGCTGAAAATTAGGTTTTCAAAACACCAATCAAAATTAAATTATTTTCAAAAATCAATGAGTTGATTGCAATTAACGCCATTTTTTATCAATTTTTTCACAAAAATGGGGCAAAGTGGTACGCCACGAAGCGTGGTAAATGTGGTTGTCTTCGCTTTTTTTCCCATCACAACATTCACACGACCCGACTTCCGTCCGTCAAAGAAGTTGTTTTACTCTTTCTTCACATCGGTAATGAAAATTTATGAATTTCAAGTCAGGAATTTAATAATATTTGAATTACTATATAAGATTGAAGTGTGACGATGGCCGTCCCTGCAAAATTCCTGGTAACCCAGCTCTCTGATGAGAACTATAATTCTTATTTGTGCGAGAAAATTCAAGAAAAATGGGACATTTTAGAGGTGGGTCTTCAATGAAGACTCTTCATAAATAAATGACGATAAATATGTCATGTACATGTTTGAGATAAATCATGGTCATTGCAATTCTTCTGGTGATGGTTGAAACATATCTGCTTTATTTAAGATTTCAGCGAGAAACTCCAACTCGGACGGGTTATCGTGAAGAAAAAAGCAACAGCTTGTCACACCCTCAGATTTCGATTTTAATTATTTTTAACGAATATTGGTTTGATAAACCGGTGGAGAGTTGATAAACAGACGAGCATGAGAAACTCAGGATTTTTTGAGTTTCGCGGTGGAAGGGTCCACTTTTTGTAGGGGTGTGGGGCATTGTGTTACATGCACAGTTTAACCATGTGTAAGAGGCCCCTTAAGAAAATAATTTTAAGCAAAGTTTTTAATTTGTCAAAACTTAATAATTTTTTATGAAGTCTTTCCACGACTTCAAGTTATTGTTATTTTAGTTTCTGATGTAGAAGGAAAACTTGATAAACTAATAACATGCCAGTTTGTTGGGTAAATTTGTTAACCAAAATCAAGATTTGAAAACAGATCTTTTAAATAAAATTTGGGTTATGCTTTTTTTAAAAATTATCAATCCGACGTTTAAATTCTCAACTTGTCACTGCGACATTTTATGTATTTCCTAGTGTTTTCAGTAATTCAGTTTAAGTCGTACACAACTAAACGTCTCATCTCGCAGTACAACTTGCTTGCCAAATATCTAAAAACATGTCAATTTTCTATGTGCATTATGCAATAAAAATGCCATCCCTTCCCAGAAAAGAGGTTTGCCCAGTATGGTTTCGGATCTTGCAAACGTTTTGCAAGTTTTGTTCATGGTTGTTAGTTTTTGGGATTTTGAAGAATATGAGGAATCTGGCCTACAATTGGATAATTTGACTATTCAACAAAACTGACAATGTCGTTTAAATCCTAAACTTTACAACATTTCTGTGACCATTTCCTCGGAACTACAAATGTATACTACATTTGAATACTAACAATGGGGAAATTCACGCCCACGTTTGTAACCATCGTAATTGCGCAAGGTTTGTAAGGTTACGAACTTTAGCAAAATTTATACACTTTGTTTTAAGTGTCATTTTGCACCACATTTTTTCTCAAATAAATGGTTTTTGAAATAATCAGTAATCTTGAGAAATAAAAATATCTATGCCGATTTTCATACCAAATTTGAAAAATATAACTGGGCACAAACTTTATTTTATCTGCACTACTTATAAGTAATTCGATTTTGCAAAAAACTTGATAACGTCGTTTAAATGTACATTTCACTAAATTTATTAAGTCCAATTCCATAATAATTTTTACAACCTTTCTACTTCTCAAAATCATTATTACTTTAGTTTTGATATGTGAATAAAAACATACTGTCCTCGTACTCTGCTCTGTCACCTCATTTGCATATTTTAACGCATTCGCGAGAGTCATAGAGTTTACTCAACATGGAAAGCCCGTATCGCCGAAAATGGGCTATTGAGATTTATGCAAATGAGGTGACACGCCTAAATGCGAGGATAGTATATCCATTTTCTGCAGTTAATTTGTCGTTTAACTAAGGAGGGGAGCTTGCGAGGTTGATAATAACAGATCTTGATGCCCTTTGGATATGTGGTAGGGACCCATGAGTGTACTAAAACCCTGAATTGGTTTGACTCCATGGCCACATTTACGCCCGCCACACCCACTCAAAAATGCCCAAAAAACGCTTTCACTCCAGTTTTCACTCACTCAAATCCACGCCAAAAGTCCAATTTTACTCGGATTTTGAAATTTCTTTCACCAATATACTCCCAGATAGTTTCTTTCTTCAATCCAATATCAAACTCAATTTTTTCGAAATTTTTAGTATTTTTAAAATTTAAATTTCTGAATGAGCATTGTTGTAGCAATCAACAAGGCAAATTATGCCTGCGAAATAATAATCAGCAAAATTGAGTTTGATATTGGATTGAAGAAAGCAACTATCGGGGAGTATATTGGTGAAAGAAATTTCAAAATCCGAGTAAAATTGGATTTTTGGCGTGGATTTGAGTGAGTGAAAACTGGAGTGAAAGCGTTTTTTGGGCATTTTTGAGTGGGTGTGGCGGGCGTAAATGTGGCCATGGAGTCAAACCAATTCAGGGTTTTAGTACACTCATGGGTCCCTACCACATATCCAAAGGGCATCAAGATCTGTTATTATCAACCTCGCAAGCTCCCCTCCTAAGTTTACGTGGTTACAGAATTACATAGGCTTACAAATTTCCTCATTGTTTAATGTCAGACCGATTTCGTTCTACATGTATAAACAGTTTTTTCGATTTTCTGTTTCCGAAAATTTACGGAACGACTTGCAAGTCCAACATTAAAATATATCGATTTTTTTAACACATTTCAAAAAATGACGATTTTTAAGATTTTTTATCGACTTATTAGCTCACCCTGCGTAGCATGAGAGCTATTGAATTGTTCTTGTCCGTCTGTCTGTCCGTCTGTGTGTTCATGAGTTTTTTGCATCAATTGATGCTAATTAATAATCCCCATGTCCATTATTGAATAACTTAGTCCCACCATTGGCATCGAACAATCCGAACGGAAATGGTGCGAATCAATTGGGAAAGTTGATCGAGAAAGTACTCCAACATTGGAATAAGTAGCACCGTTAGTATCAAACAACCGGTTATCAAAAATGATGCTAAATAATTGGGAGAATCTATGCAACATGCACCAAAAGTTTAGAATAACTGGATGAAAGGTGGTGTCAAAAATTTAACACCACGAGTTCAAGGCCCCAGGGAAAAAACCAACATTATTTCAAAATTAGATATTTAATTTGGCTCCTTATTCCGCACCCTTGGTGCAAAATTATATCATTTTTGTATGCCTGCTCTTTCTGGTTATCCTGTACCATTGGTGCAAAATTATATGACAATACTATATCTATTTGTTCGATTATCCTGCATCAATGGTGCAAAATTGTATAACTTTTATACTTGTATATTTTGCGCGATTATTCGGCACCTTTGGTAAAGTTATAGCAAGTCATTATATATGCGTATCTTACTCGCTAATTGTATTGTAAGTATGGCTTGGCGGGTTACTCAGCACCTTTGGTGCGTAAGTTCTAACCAAGTCAATATGACAGGGTGAGCTACTTCTAACGTTACTACGGTTTATTTTCAGTGTACTAACCTGTATACCGTTGTAATAATCAGGGTAAAAAACAGCCACAACGCGACGAAACAGCGCAACGGGGTAAAACTCGGCATTCCGCCGCAATCTTGGTCCAGGTAACTCGTCAAAACGAAGAAAACTTGGCGTCTCATGCCCCACGTGGGATTATTTGGCGGGATATTTTTCACCTCCACGTGCGAAGCAGCCATCGCCTTATTGATCAGTTTGAAGATGAGGAACGCGGCCACGGTGGAGGCGCCGATGAAGGACCACATGACCACGTCGAACGGCCAGAGGAGAACGGCGGGAGAAAAGACGCGGGTTCCCTCGGTGGTGATAAAGTTGAGGTAATTTATGTCGAAAAACGTGTTCGTGAAGGTGACCACTTTTACTGGACAGAAGGAAAAATAATGTCAATTAAGGTGGCATTATGTGCTGGTAAATTTGAATTTTTGCGTCTCAACTTCCCCTTCTTGAATATATTTAAATAGTAATTTTGAAAGTTGTTCATCTCCGTGCTTGTTTTTTTCTTAGTGAGGCAAATACCTAACAACGAAAAAATTTACTAAGTATGCATTTACCCCACCCAAAAAAAGTGACATAAGTCGATTTCTCAGTCATTTCTCAACCGATTTTGATGAAATTTTGCACAGATCATTGTTACTGAATTTAGAAACGATGTACTAGTTGACTTGGCGAATTTTTGATTTTTACCCGAGTTATGGGCGAAAAAGAGCAAAAATTTGCACTCGGAGTCACCTTTCTATCCATTGTTCCATTTTGGAGCATCACATAGTCCTAAATTATTGGAAAAAGTTACACTCATTCCTTCTGAACATTTTAAGACCACGTTGACGGAAATCGGTTAAGAAATCAAGAAGTTATTCAAATTTAAAGCTACACATTTTGTAAAATTATTCTCGTTGCAAATAATTACTGTCGGTGTTGCAGTGTAATAATTCCATTGACAACCCAATTACAAGTTTTAAATAAACAAGGTCCCAAAAAGTGGGAAATCTTAGTGAGACAGTGCAATTACAACTAATAAATAAATTTAGATTGCAGAATGTTTGCATCACCGCTCTAGGTACCGTTTTTACTGGAAGAAATATATTCCATTAATAATGAGATGTATTTCTAAAATTAATGATCCATTATGTTTGATCTCAGTTAGTAATTTAGCATACTTCTCGTACACTAGTAAAAGCGCCTTTTCGTAAATTAAGACAAGAATTCATGCAAAGTCAAATTTATAGTGCATCCAGTAAAAACGGTACTGAGAGCGGTGATGCAAAAATTCTGCAATCTAAATTTATTTATTAGTTGTAATTGCACTGTCTCACTAAGATTTCCCACTTTTTGGGACCTTGTTTATTAAATAAAGGTTTTATTGCATATCAAAATTGATAATTTGTAGGTTTACAAACTTAGGAGGCTAGAATTTTGATTTTTTTCTTCCATGAGCAAATAATCAATTTTGATTGATTTTGAAATATTATTTTTTATCGATTTTACTTCAAAATGTTTACAATTTTACTTTTAGCATCACAATTCTAGCCTCCTAGCTTTGTACACTGACAAATTTTCGATTTTTAGATGCAATAAAACGTTTCGATTTTCTTCATTTTGTAAAAAAACTCGCGGAGCTGAACAGGTTTCAAAATTTGAATACACTGAAGATGGGAAAGTTGATACACACAAATTCAAATTGGAAACGTTAATAAAAATCTAGTAGTAAAATACTACCAAGTGGTACTCCTATACTTTATTTTCAATGGTAGTTTTTGAAGACAGAGAGACAATTCACGCAACACTTGGTAACTTTGTAAAATCCGTAAATTTTGTAAAATAATGCTACGCACTTCTACCAAATAAAAAGATCCCCTTTATCTGAGGAAGTTTACAAAGATTTGTAGGCTAATTTTCCTCAGAAATATATTTGTAAAATTTTGTAAAAATTTGTTTTCTAGTTACATAAACAAGCTTTTAAAAAATGCATTCTAAATATAATTCTAAATTGATTGTTAAAAGTAAATTCTAATTAATTAAAAATTTATACGATTTGTGAAATTTGGAAACCTTCGTAGTTAGTTAATAACTGCGAAACAACGTAAACTTACGAAACTTACGAATTTTTGACGAAACTTGGGAGCATCTCGAAGGAAAGTTTTGCTTACGAACTTACAAAACGTTACGCAGAAGAAAAGCATGTTTTTGGCTCGTAAGTTTACGTAGTCACCGAATTACAAATTTTAGGTGTCTCAAATTTTCCTTCCTCAATGTCTTAAAATTGTGATTTTGAAACTTATTCATCTCCGTACGTTTTTTAAGAAATTCAGTTTTGTTATATCTAAAAATCGATGATTTTACTGTTTGGAACTTTAGGAGATTGAAATTTTTATTTTTTTCCTGCATGAAAAAATAGAAATAAAATAAGACGATTCTTATGGAAGAAAAAAAATCAAAATTCTGACCTCTTAACTTTATAAATCTAAAAATTTTCGATTTTTAGATACAATGACATCTTCACTTTTTAAAAAACGCACGGCGGTGAATAGATTTCTAAATCGCTATTTGAATAATGGAAGAAGGGAAAGTTGAGACACAAAAATTCAAATTCAAAAAGTCAATAGAAATCTAGTATTAAAATACTTCAAAATCATACTCTTATACTGTATTTTCAACAGTAAGTTTTTTAGACAGGGAGACATTTCACACAGTATGTATGTACTTTGATCACTGTGTAAAATCCATAACTTTTGTGAAACTATGCAACTAGATAACTTTTAAAAGACGCCCTTGGCCTGAGAAAGTTTTCTAAATTTTTTAAAATAATTTTCCTCAGAATTATTTGTAAAACTTTGTTTTCTCGTTACATAAATAAGGTGTCAAAAAATTAATAAATTTATATCACGCATTTTAAATTCAATACAAAATTGATGACCAAAAGTAAATTGGAAGTCATTCAAAATTTATACGATTTGTGAAATTTGGAAACCTATAATTATTTTGCGAAGAATTTAATTAAAATAAACCCCTCAGGTGTCGATTGCGTGGTGTGTGACTTGCAAATTATCAAATTTATAAAATATCGAGGAAATTCACGCAGTCATTGGTAACTTTGTAAAATCTGTAAATTTTGGAAAATAATTTTATAAACTTGAACATAATAAGCAGATGCACTTGATCTAACAAGTATGTAAGCTTTAAAAAAATTGTAACATAATTTTCCTCGGAAATATTTATAAAATTTTATTGAAAGCTGACGGAATTTGCGAAGTTATCAAGGCCTTCACGAATTGTACTAAGCTTATGAAAATTGGAAATTTCAAAAATCAGATTAATTAAAATTTGAATCTACGGGAATTTCACAGTGTGTAATTTTGATTCGCATTCTGTTTGGCAACAACTTTTCACCAGCAGAATTATCAAAATTCGTGCAGGTTAAAATTTTGATTAATCTGATTTTTGGAAATTTCGAACTTTCATTTCTAACAGTGTCAGTAATGTCAAGTTTTTAATTGGTCGTTCATACCCGTGACAACATCATATTTCGCAAACTCATTTAAATATTAGGCATGTTTTTGGTTCATACATTAGTTTGCGTGTTTACCGAATTATAAAGTCTGACGTAAATTGCCTCCATATTAAATTCAGTTCGTTCCATTCCGAAGTTGTGTTTCCTAAAAATATTTATATTGCCAAACAAAGAAATATGCACTTACTTCGTTTATCCGTCATTGCTGTAATGATGGCAATATCGGCCCGATCCGCCACGACGTCACCAACCGTGCCTAAAAAAGAGGACTAAACAGTTATCCAGATAAGCATTGGCAATTTTGAGATTAAATGAATTCGAACTTTCATGTGTGGCAGACATTACATCATTTTTCGTGGCTAATGAATCAATTTTGTTCAAAAAAATATGATAACGTGTCAGCCAGCGTGGGAGATGGGTCAAAATTCTGCGAATTTTGTTTGCATGTTTCTTATTCACGGTTCGATTTGCCAAAATTTGTGCCAATTAAGCATCAAACCTAATTTTAGTCATAATCCTTGTAAAAACCTGTATATACCTTATATCTACTTAAAAATGTGAAATTTTGTGTATATATGTATGTGTATGCAAATTTTATAAAATTTGCCTTGTTTATGCGAATTATTGCAGATTGCCTTATTCAGAAATGTTTTCGGGACAAATTTAATCGAATGTGCTCACACCGATGTTGTAAAAAATTTTATGAAATATGACTTTTTATTTAAGATGAAATATGAAAATTATCGTTGACCTACTAATTTCGCTCATAATTCTTGTAAATAAGTGGAGTCATATTCGGTTAGAAACAGAATTTAGCTAATTGGAAATTAGGGTAATTGGAAATTAAGTTAATTGGAAATCAAGTCAATTGGAATTTATAAACATGGATATAAAGTGTTTTAAAATTAAAACGATTTATTTTAATCCAGTTTTTCAAGTGGTTCATGCCGATAATGAATTTTAGTAAAAAGAATCAGTTTTAATAGACGTGCCGCAGATACGAAAACTGCTTTGCCCGGAGCTATAATCATCACCACAATTCGTTACCATAAAATTCGTCACCAATTTATTCATCACCATGAAAATTAATATTCATATACAAACTCTTTCGACTTTCGAGTGATTGATAAATTTTTCATTGCTGTTACTGACATTTCTAAGCGGTAGTGCTCCTTACCGGGCTGTATTACCGGCCGGTAATGATATCAGAAAATTTGTTTCGTGCCGCTATTTTTTGTACTCCATTTTTAGAAGATGATCAAAATTTGAATTTTTTTCTACTTTAAAAAAAATTATGAGCTCCAACCAGTAGAAAGTTGTATAAAAAAACACGAAGTGGGAAAAAATATTCTAATGTTGATCAATCCTAATCCATGTCATAGTTTTTACTATAGTGTAAATCTACCAGCTCACTTTGATTCATTTTATTACGAAAATGAACTTTCTATCATTTCAATGAAAATGACTGAAGGATTTCGTCATTTCAGATGAATAACTGTGAATGAAAGATTTTCCCTCCTTCCATTTTTTTCACCCTATGATCAATACTTATGGCGAAGAAATGAAGTCCGATGAAGTGAAATGAAATGAGTTTGAAAGAAAATGACTGAGCATGAATAAAAATCTTCAGTAGAAATTGGGATGAGTGACTTTTGAATGAGAATTTTTGAACAGGTTTGACTGTCATTTCGCGTCACATTTTGTGCCAATGAATAAATTGTACGAAATAATAGTAAGCCGAATTTCTAACTAAATTTTAAGCTCACTTACCGACCCACGTTCCATTCGGTAACTCCAACCCGGTCCCTTTCCCCGTTGCGAGGAACATTGTATAACTAAAGTTGAACTTGGGCATGAGAAATTCGTCAAAAAGTGTCTTCCACATTCCTCTTTTTGCATTGTTTACCCCCTCGTACGGTGGAGGCACCTCGACCCGCCCCAAAATTAGGGGGAATACGACGCGCAAAACTTTCCCGCGCAGATTTACGACATAGTCGGGAAAGTAGTTGAAAGTGGCGGGTGATTGGACGGGCATCGTGAGAACGACGGGGCGACCCGCGTCACAAAAATAGCAGACGGATCTGATCACTAATTCGTCCCGATTTTTGTTAAGGGAAAGTCCCAACTTGTATTTCGTCCTGGCCGGAAGTGTGCGTGAAAGTAGGAGCGGTTCGAGCAGGGCGGGATTTAGCGTTATGTAGATCCAGGGATCAGAATTTTTCGCACTTAGCGGCAAATATGGGGGTGTGATGGTCCTGTAAAAATGAAAATTACTATTGTGAAATTTCGAACACAAATTATATAATTTCCAATATACTAAATTTCTATGTGCTAAATTTATTTATTTTCGCAAAATAGCCTTAATAAATCTTCCTTAATAAATTTTAAAATGCATACAAATTCTTTAAAAAAAATTATGCGTAAAAAAATTACAACACAACGTGAAAAATTTATATATTGGAGAAATTGTATCTTCCATAAAGATACCTATTTAATTATTTCTTAAAACTGCAAACGACTTCGAACTAGTTCGAACTATAAAGTAAATTTCACTCTTAAGTTGTCATGTGGTTTTACTGCAAACAGGATAGTACCAGGGATTCGAAATAGCATTGCATAACGACAAATTCCTAAATATGAGGATGCATTTATTGGTTTTTCATCAGAAGTGAAAGTGGTGAAAGTGGCAAGTACAAGTATTCATAGGTCGTCGTTAAAGAAAGAAATATGGAGAAACCAGTTCGTGAAATAGCATCTATTAACACTCACAAGGTATAAATTATTCCAAAATTATCCACGTAGTCGCGTAATTTATACATACCCAATTTTCCCATCCAAACTCAGAACCTTGTAAATTTTGTAACACATTAATTAATTTTGCATAGTTTACAAAGCCAGGATTTTATGGATTTTACGCTTTTAAATGTTACCAGAAATACAAATTATAATTAGAAATATGAAAATACATATTTCATAAGTGCAAATTAATTTTTTTCATAATTAACTAACAATGCGATGGTGTGAAGTATAACCCTCCGATTTGGTTCCTCGGTTAGTTGGTATAACCGCTTTGTATTAAGTTCATAAAAATCTTCTACCGATATGGTAAAACTTTAATACCTTTAATACTTTGGTATATTATTTTAATCCTGGATTTCTGTAGAAATCATTCAGAAACTAAGTTGGTAATAAAATCATTACTACGTGTAATCACTGTCAGGCTCTGCCACGTTGACAAAGAAAGATTTGTCACTAACGTAAAAATATGTTGCTTTCGATTATTTTTTACGTCAGAATTAGACGCCACATTTAAAAATTAGAAAATCATCGGTCGCAAAGATTATTTAATAAGATAAAATGAAATAAACATCCTCGTTTGAAACTGGTCCTAAATTTTCTACATTAAAAAATGCTTTGTACAATCCGTAAATTCTGTCAGCTTCTAAACTTCTGTAAAATTTTGTAAATATTTCTGAAGGAAATTAGCTTACAATTAAAAAAAAAAGTTTTGGGAAATTTATCAAACGAGTTTTTTTTAATTTTTCAAAACTTTGTAGAATTATTTTACAGATTTTACAAGACTACCAAATTATTTTTTATGTGGGAAATAGACGCCACATTTAAAAATTACAAAATTAACGGTCGCAACCACTAATTAGATGAGATGAAAAAAACATCATAAATAGTTTGAAATCGGTCTTAAATTTTACGCATTAAAAAAATACCTTTTCTCATCCCGTTATTATACGTATAAAATCAGCACTGCGGATTGTATCATATGCAGAATTTTTATAAACTTACATACTCAGATCTTTATTTTGTAAAAGTTTGTAAAATTATTTCACAAAACTTATCGATATAACAAGTTTAACAAGAATTGTGTCAACATTTCATTCAATTTTTGAGACAATTCAAATTTCAGGTTCAAGTTGGGATAGAAAATTGAAAAATGCTAATTTTGTCAAGATTTGTACGCCGTTTTGAAGAATTTAGATTTTATTATTAATAATCAAATTTCTACGCCGATATGAATGACGACTACACTCAAAATAAGTTGGTATCAAAATTATCTTGGTAACAAACTCGTCACGGCATGTAGTCACTAACGACACTGGTAAAGATTTGCCACTGAAATGCAACACTAATTTCGGGGAGACTCAAAATTTTTATCTCGTTATCTAACCGGACGGTGTCCAATTTTAGTTTTATTGAAATTATTGTTGTCAAATTTCTACCAGCGTGTTAAAGTCTTATGTGACTGCATGCGGTGACGATTTTTCTTACCAAGACAATTTTGACACCAACTTATTTTGTTGAGTGTACGCTTCAAATATCAAAAAAAAATCTGTGATTATTTAACACGAGAACTAAATAATATAAATTCGCCTAAACGGCGTACAAATCTTGATAAAATTGTTATTTCTCAATTTTCTAATTACTCCCTCAAATTCAACTTCAAATTAAAATTGTAACAAATTATGTAAAAAAAAATAAGCGAAATATGTAGTAAACCGTGAATTCGCTGTAAACCGTGTATTCGGTTTGTGGTACAAACGTAATAAATAGTGTGGCAAATTTACGAAATTTAACAAAGTGAACTTCGTCACTAATTATTTTTCAGTTTAAAAATACTCCAGCGAAAACTTTGTCGATACATGGAAAGTCCAAAATCACACTTTTTTTCATGATATGAAACTCGAAGCTACTAATCACTCGAGCGTTTGCAGCCTTGTAATGTAAACACTAAAGTAATAGATCGTTGATAAATTTACGGATTTTACACAAAAAAGGACGCACCACACGAATAAATAAATATTTCAAGGCGAAAGCTCGATCAGAGTTATTAATGCGAAAAATGTGATTAAATCAATTCATAAAATCGCGTTTTATTGGATTTAACGATTGTGATAGAGCTATCTTAATTAAAGGAAATACTCGTTAAATCGTGTAACCTGTCAAATTAGAAGGCTTTATAATTTCATTTTAGTAAGTACCCGTCAAAGTGAAATTAGTTGTTGGATAAAATGATCTAATATTAGGTATTTAGGTTAGCTATTTCAAGTAGCCTTTCATAACGGATGTTTATGGCACCGACTTTATTGGACCTTTGTACAGTGTCAGCTCATTCTTAGCATTCCCATTCTTGGGAGAAGGATTTAGCACTTCCTTTCTATTTAGGTCAGACACTTTGGAAAGTGTCGTGAGGAACAGTTTCATACATTTATTAATACATATTCTATTACTCATGATGTCTATATAATCATGTTGCATGTTGACAATAAATTATCAGTCGATTGGCAACCGTCGTGTTGTATCGTTGTTCATTATTTACCACATGGTATCTTAATCGTGGTTTTCGATCGCACAAGAGGCAAGTTGAGATTTTCGAGTTATCTCAAGTTTTACGTTTTGAGACAGAGTGAGAGGTTGGGTATGCTCTAACAGAGGGCATTAGCCAGGTAAAAGCTTTTAGCTAATCCTTCTCACTTTTCGGGAAAGTTGAGACTCTTCTGAGACTCCTTCTCGTTGTCGTCAAAACTGGTTTGTCCAGACTCGCGTTTAAGGATAAAGTCGTCAAGTTTCGCGAAAACGTCGCGTTTATTCTTACTTCGAGTAGTGAAATAATAATCGTCAAATTACACAGCTCCATACTTACACAGTTTACACAGTACACAGTAGTTTACACAGTGTGAAGTTGCAGCAGTGGTGTGTAACTAGATACGTAATCAAGATTCGAGTGGTAGCGTGGAAGAGAGTCATCATCATGAAGAAAGTTGAGACGTCTCATATTCCCAAGTTGAACGGGGATAACTACCAGCCTTGGAAGCTACAGGTCACCTTGGCGTTGCAGGCTGGGGGCGTTTGGGGGTACATAGATGGTACGAAGAAGAAGCCAACCCTCAAGACCGATGGGAGCAACCAAACAGACGTGGACAAGTGGGACGAGAACGACGTGGGAGCTCGCTCGCTCATTGTTCAGCTACTTGAGCAAGGTCAGATGGCGCATATCTATGCATGCGACTCAGCAAAAACTACCTGGGAAAAGATTGCGGAAGTAAATTCCGATGCAAGCATTCTGAACGTGCAGCGGACGCTCACCAGGTTCTACAATTTTAAGATTTCTGAAGATCGGTCTGCGGTGGAAGCCTGCGGTGAACTGGAGGAGCTGGCGAGAGCTCTTAAAGAGATGGGGAATCCGGTGACTGCACAAGCATTGGTCATCAAGGCTGTATCGTCTCTTCCCGAGTCGAAGTTTCACGCGTTTAAAAGGGCCTGGGGCAGCGTTGACGCCGCAAGTCAGACCATGGCAAATCTCATTGCAAGAATCAAAAATGAGGAACTGTCATTTAAGGCCAACGGTGAAGGCGGGGAGGAGCAGCAGCAGTTCAACATCGCCTTCAACGCCCAAAATGGTAACAAAAAATTCCAAAAAGGAAAATCCAACCAGCAGCAACAACAGCAGCAACCCCAGAAGAAGAAACGAGAAGGGGCGTGCCGGAACTGCGGTATAGAGGGACATTGGGCGAGGGAATGCCGTAAACCCAAAAGGGAAGAGGGTGATGAGGCTAAGTGCAACAACAACAACAATAACAACAACTCCAACCGCAAGCAGAACCGTAAAAACAACAAAAAGCAGAATGAGGGTCCTGGGGATTGCCAAGCGTTCCTGGGGGGGCATGAGATGGAAGAGGGGAGCACCCGATGGATTAGTGACAGCGGGGCCTCGTTCCATATCACTGGAAGAAAGGATTGGCTGACGGACTACAAAGAGTTCAAGAATCCCATTCCTGTCAGCATCACGGACAACTCCTCCATCCGGGCACTGGGGAAGGGGACCGTACAAGTGGAAGCTTGGGTGCAGGGGGAGTGGTATCCCATATCTATCCACAACGCCCACTATATTCCTGGTGCCGTGAACCTCTTTAGCGAGGGGATCATGGACCAGAAGGGGTTCAAAATCGTGAAAGAAAACGGGAAGACCACTTACTATTTCAAGGGGCAACAAGGACCTCAAGCTTGGTGGCTAAATGGAAATTATGTAATGGGTTTCCGCGTCCCGAAAAACTCTGCATACTCAGCCACCATCAACAAGACGAAATTGTGGCATGAGCGATTGGCCCATGTCAATATGGGCTACATCAAAAATGCAGTGAAAGTTGGGGCAGTTGAGGGGATCAAGATGGAAGATCTTGCGTCGGACTTTCACTGCTCGGATTGTCATCTGGGGAAAGAGACACGAC